AAATTCAAAAAACATGCAGTTCCCTATTTAAATATTAGTTTTAAAAAGCTGGGACTTGTAGGGAACTTCCAGAAGTATTCCGTGGGAAAATGACCTGAAATGCAAATTTTTTTCCCATTTTGTTTTTTGTTTTGCATAGGGTCTCACTATGCAGCCCAGGTTGGCCTTGAACTCACTATGTAGCCAAGAATGTCCTTAAAATTTCAGAGCCTACGAAGCTGGAGAGATGGCTCAGTGGTTAAGAGCACTGACTGCTCTTCCAGAGAACCTGGGTTCAATTCCCAGCACCCACAGTGCAGCTCACAACTGTCTGTAACTCCATTGCTTGGGGATCTGACAGACAGACAGACATGCAAACAAAACACCAATGCACATAAAATACAAAAAGTATTAATTACTTTTAAAAATGTCTGATCCATGGGGGCTAGAGGGATGGCTCAGAGGTTAAAAGCATTGCCTGCTCTTTCAAAGGTCCTGAGTTCAATTCCCAGCAACCACATGGTGGCTCACAACCATCTGTAATGGGGTCTGGTGCCCTCTTTTGGCCTTCAGGCATATACACAGACAGAATATTGTATATAAAATAAATAAGTAAATATTTAAAAAATGTCTGATCCTAGCACTCCAGAGGCAGAGGTAGGCAGACCTCTGTGAGTTCAAGGCCAGTCCAGCTTGGTCTACAGACAGAGTTCCAGGACAGACAAAGCTACATAGTGAAACCTTGTCCCCTTCCCCTGCTTCCCAAAAAAAAAAAAAAAAAAAAGGGCTAGAGAGATGGCTCACCAGTCCCTGCCTCTGCTTCTTGAGTGCTAAACTTAAAGGTGTGTGGCACCTGGATTTTATTTTTTTTCTTAGAGTCTTACTATGCAGCCTGGGCTGTTCTCAAGCATTCAACCCTTCTGCTCCATACTCCTCTGTGGTAAATGTCTTTTAAAACTGTTCCTTTTTTCATCATTTATTCTTTTCTTTTCTGATACAAGGTCTTGCTAGGTAGCCGAGCTTGCTCTGAACTGGCGGTAATCCTACTAAGTGCTGGATTACAGATGTGTGTTATCCCATCCAGGTTTATTTTTATTTTGATAGGTTTACTTATGTTTTTATGTGTATATTTTGCTTGCATGTATGTCTGTGCACCACCTACCTGCATGGTGCCCATAGAGGCCAGAAGATGGCCTTGGGTCCTATAGAACTGGAGTAACGGATGGCTGTGAGCCCTTGTGTGGGTACTTGGAATAGAATACAGATTCTGGTCTCTGCAAAAGCAGCAAGCGCACTTAACCACTTCAACTCCTATTTTTGTTTAGTTTTCTTTCTTGAGAAAGAGTCTCCTGGGATAGCCTTGGCTATCCTGAAATTTGCTCTGTAGACCAGGCTGGTCTTTGTCTTCTTAAGTGCTGGAATTAAAGGTGTGGGCCACCACTGCCTGGCTTTAAAAAGGTTTCTTTTAAAAATGTGTGTGTGTGTGTGTGTGTGTGTGTGTGTGTGTGTGTGTGTGTGATGGTTAGAAGTGGGGCATTGGCTGGGACCTGGAGTTACAGGCATTTGTGAGTCACCTGGTGTGGTGAGCTCTGGTCCCTGTGAGTTCTTAACTGGTGAACCAACTCTCCAGCATTCTCTTTTGCATTTTAAAAAAAGATTTATTTACTTATTATGTATACAGTGTTCTGTTCTGTCTGCATGTATGTCTGCAGGCCAGAAGAGGACACCAGATCTCATTACAGATGGTTGTGAGCCACCATGTGGTTGCTGGGGATTGAACTCAGGACCTTTGGAAGAGCAGGCAGTACTCTTAACCTCTGAGCCATCTCTCCAGCCCTCTTTTGCTTTTTAAATAATTGTAAGGCAAGGTCTTAATGTTTCCCAAGTTGTCCTTGAGCCTCTCATTCTCCTGACTACCTCCACAGCAGCTGAAATGACAGGCCTGCATCCCCAAGTCCAGCTCCATCTCACTTCTTTTAACTGGCTGTATAATATTCCACACCACAGAAGTACCTCCAGCTATTAGATCAGAAGCCTACAAAAAGACAGAATTGAGCCCAATCCTTTGCCGGTTACATTGTCATGTGATAAATACCTGAATGAGGTATGAGGTTCATCTTATTCTTCTCTTTCTCCTCCTCTTCCTCCTCCTCCTCATCTTCTTCTTTTTTTGGATTTTCGAGACAGGCTTTCTCTGTGTAGCTTTGGTGGCGCCTGTCCTGAAACCTTGCTCAGTAGACTAGGCTGGCCTTGAAGCCACAGAGATCCGCCTGCCTCTGCTGGGATTAAAGGCGTGCTCCACCACTGCCCAGCTGAATGAGTTTTAATAGATCTCTTCAGCCAGTTCACAGGGCTTGTAGATTGGACTTTGAGATGTAGATGCTGTGGTTTTAGCCAGCCTGTCAGGAGGACAACAAGGCAGAGTGTGATAAGACACCATCTCTGGAGAAGCCTGGAGCTGCAGCTTCTTCTCCATTAGTTTCAAGTCCTGAAAAGGTGGACCTCGCCTGGGGTTCCAGGAATTTCCCACATAGACCAACAGCTCTTCCACTGGCATTTCCTTTTACAGGTGCTAAACATAAATACACTTAATTAAAAGGTATATAGTTAGTCGTGGTGGCTGTATTAAAACCCCAGTGCTTGTGAGGCTGAGGTAGGAGACTCACTCTGAATTCAAGGCCAGCCTGGGCTACACAGTCTCAACCATAAATAAGTAAAGTTGGGGGCTGGCGAGATGGCTCAAGGGTTAAGAGGACCCAGGTTCAATTCCCAGCACCCACATGGCAGCTTGCAATTGTCTATAATTCTAGTTCCAGGGGACCCAACGATCCATGCCAAACACCAATGCACATAAAATTAAAAAAAAAAAAACCAATTAATTTTAAAAAATAAGTAAAGCTGAGGGAGAGAATACAAATTCGAAATTCCAGTTTGGGCTACGTAATGATATCTTGTCTCAATCAATCAATCAATCAAATAATAAATGTTGTCAGGCAATGGTGGCACATGCCTTTAATCTTAGCACTTGGGAGGCAGAGGCAGGTGAATTTCTGTGAATTTGAGGCCAGCATGGTCTATAGAATGAGTTCCAGCACTGCCAGGGCTCTTACACAAAGAAATCCTGTATCAAAAAAACAAAACAAAACAAAATAAGCCGGGCAGTGGTAGCTTACACCTTTGATCCCAGCACTCAGGAGGCAGAGGCAGGTGGATCTCTGAGTTAGAGGCCAGCCTGGTCTACAGAGGAAATTCCAGAAAAGCAGCCAGGGTTACACAGAGAAACCCTGACTTGAAAAACAAAAACAAAACAAACAAAAAACCCCAAATAATAGTAGTATAGTAAATATTTTATAATTTTTATTTTTCCTTATTCGTTTGGGTGTTTTGTCTTCATGATGCTGGTGCCTGTGGGAGCCAGAAGAGGGTGTTGTGTCCCTTGGAACTGGAGTTACAAATGTTTGTTCCAAAATAATATAGGTGCTGGGAATTGAACCTGGTCCTCTGGAAGAATAGTCAGTGTTCATAACCACTGAGCCATTCTCTCCAGCACCAATAATAAATACCTTTATTGTTCAAAATTAATTTTTATGTGTGTATATGAAGGTCAGAGACCAACTTGTAGGAGTTGGTTTTCTCCTACCATCTGGATGCCAGGGATGGAACTCAAGTTGCCAGGATTGGCCAAAAGCATCTTTACCCACTGAGCCATCTTGACAGTTCAGGAAATAACTTTCCATCATAAATGCCATAAGTATCTATTACTGTAAAAATATCAAAAGTTTGTGAAAAACACAGTGTGAGAGAAAGAGAGAGAGAGAGAGAGAGAGAGAGAGAGAGAGAGAGAGAGAGAGAGAGAGAGAGAGAGAGATTGTAAACCGGCTCAGCAGGTGGAGGTGCTTGCTTGCCCAAATTTACACACAGCCTGAGTTCTACCCAGGCCCCACCAAGGGGAAGCTGGGATGGGTTTCTGCAAGTGGTCCCCTGCCCTCAAGTACACACAACACAAAAATTCCTGTAAACAAGCCCTGAGTGATGTAACTGTCTTTAACCCCAGCACGCAGGAGGCAGAGGTAGAAGGGTCTCTGTGAGTTTAAGGCCAGCCAGGGATATACAATAAGGCCCTGTCTCAAAAAGAAGCTACAGGGCTGGAGGGACAGCTCAGTGGTTAAGAGCACTGGTTGCTCTTAGAGATGACTCAGGTTTGATTTCCAGCTCCCGCAAGCTCACAACTACCTGCATCTCCAGTTCCAAGGAATCCCAACCTCCGTGGGCACCAAGCATTCATGTGCTGTAATACAAACGTACATACATGCAGGCAAAACACACTCATACATAAAATTAAAAACTGAAAAAAAAGTAAGTTATAAGACTGGAGAGATGGCTCATCATTTAAGAGTACTTGCTGCTCTTGCAGAGGACCAGAGTTCCATGGCGGCCCACAATCACCTGTGACTTCAGAAGGCACTGCATGCGCACGGTATGCAGACATACTGTTATTCTTTTGGCAGGGACCAAAAGAATAACACATACATACAGGCAAAACACCCATACACCCATACACCCAAAGTAAATTACAAATTGAAATAAAAACATTAAAGTTATTTTAAAAGAATATATATAATATATATAATAAATATATGTATATCTCGACCAGGCTGATGGGTCTAGCTGGACCGCGTGGGGTGTGGGAGGGTCCGAGGGTGCAGGAGTACAGACAGCCTAACCCGGAGGCAGGCTCCTAGGGCCGCCCAGACCCACGCCCTGCTCCCTCCGCCCGGCACCTGCAGGAAGGGCTGGAACCGCCTCTGTGTGCCCGCCGTTCGTTTCCGCCCTCCCGCTCCTCCCACGCGTGCCGCCCGCGACCCCGCAGCACTGCTGCCCCAGATCCAAGGCCCCCCGGATCCCCCTCGGCTCCTCCCGGAAGCGTGGCGCGTGGCGGCCCGGCGGCACGGATTGGACGCGTGGCACCAACAGAGACACCCGGGGGGTGGGACGGAGGTGAGCGATCGCCCGCGGAGATGCGGTGGGGAGTCAGCTCCGAGTGCCGTCCGCGGTCGCGCGTGGGGCCGTGCACGTGGTGGGGGGGAGCGCGTGTCCCCCCCAAGTGCGCACCCTGGTCGCTGAGCCCGTCCGCCCGCGTAGGGTGGCGGCCACGGCCGGCGAGTGGAGGGTAGGGGGTCGCCCGCGGCCGGCGCCCCGGGACTCTTATTGTGACAGGGTGGCGCGCTGTGCTTAGTCACCGTGACCCGCGCGGCGGAGGCGGAGGCGGAGCGCGGCCATGGCGGGGTGAGTGCGCCGCACCGGGGCCGGGCCCCGGACCAGGCCCTGCGGGCTCTCCAGGCGTCTGGGCTGCGCCTCCGAGCGACGGGGTGGCCACTCGAACAGGCACCGGGCACCGGGTCGCCGCTGCACAGCCCCCTGCGTAATGCCAGGCCTGAGCTCCGGCAGAGTGTGGTCACGCGTGACAGTCGCTCACTTACTGGGGCCCTTGGAGCATTTCATCGCCCCCCCCACGGTGCTCCAATAGACACAACACGGGGTAGGGGGTGCGGCTCCAGCTGAGCCCCAGAACCTGGGGAGCCAGCTGCAGACCTTCTCTCCACGGCCCCTGGCCCCAGGTCTCCCAGGGTCTCCTCAGTCCCTGCTGCCCACCGTGGGCGGTCCTGATGCCCCACTCTGTCCCAGAACGTGGGCACTTCGTGTTTTCTCTACACACTTGGTTGTATTTTCAGGCCTTCTCTGTCCTCCTGCTCTGTCTAGTACACACTTGGCAGGCTCTCTAAGTTTTGGTGAGGTGTTGAAGAAAGGAGTTTGACTTGTTGGAAGGGAGGGCAGGATGGCTGGGACAGAGGCGTGAGGATGTTGGAAAGGGGCTGACTCCATGGGACTTGGCAGGCCAGAGGTGGGTTTCCACTCTTGGGCTCAGTGAAGGGTGTTGGTTCTGAGCAGAAAGGGACATGATGTGGCGCGTTTCTTAAAGGGGACTTCAGGCTAGCGAGTTGGGGAGAACTTAGTTTGAATGGAGCCGGGTGTGTCCAGTTTACTTGGCTTGGCGAACTGCTCTAGAAACCATTGCATAGCAGATTTTCAAAAAGGAAGACTGGATGGGCATAGTAGCACACACCACAATCCCAGCACAAAGAAGGATCAATAAAAAGAAAGGATCAAAAGGGAAAAGGAAGCATGGCAGGCTCTGGCCTAACCGTGCAGTTCCCAGCCCTGTCTTTTCCCTCCTTCCAGGCCCCTGACTACTAGTGGTGGAACTGTACCTTCTCACCAGGAACCCCATGCAGCCAGAACCCAGGCCTAGCGGGGCTCCCCGCAGCAGCCAGTTCCTGCCTCTAGGGTCAAAGTGCCCCGAGGGGTCAGGGGACGCGGTGATGTACGCATCCACAGAGTGCAAGGCCGAGGTGACGCCCTCCCAGGACGGCAACCGCACCTTCAGCTACACGCTAGAGGACCACACCAAGCAGGCTTTCGGCATCATGAACGAGCTCCGGTTGAGCCAGCAGCTCTGTGATGTGACGCTGCAGGTCAAATACGAAGACACCCCAGCTGCTCAGTTCATGGCTCACAAGGTGGTGCTGGCCTCCTCCAGCCCGGTCTTTAAGGCCATGTTCACCAATGGGCTTCGGGAGCAGGGCATGGAGGTGGTGTCCATTGAAGGCATCCACCCTAAGGTCATGGAGCGACTTATTGAGTTTGCCTACACGGCCTCCATCTCCGTGGGCGAGAAGTGCGTGCTGCATGTGATGAACGGGGCGGTCATGTATCAGATTGACAGCGTGGTCCGAGCCTGCAGCGACTTCCTCGTGCAGCAGCTGGACCCCAGCAACGCCATTGGCATCGCCAACTTCGCCGAGCAGATTGGCTGCACTGAACTTCACCAGCGTGCCCGGGAGTATATCTATATGCACTTCGGGGAGGTGAGTGAGGGCGAGGGCTCAGCTGTCACAAGGAGTCTGGAGGAAGGCCTCTTGGTGTTTTTCCTTCCTCCTGTCCCCCCAGAGGGGCTCATGTAGCTCAGCCTGGCCCTAATCTGGTTATGTAGCTGTCTCAGTTTCCTCAGTACTGGGATTACAGACATTCACTCTCACAGTTGACTGAAGTGGAACCCCGGGCTTTGTGTTTGCTAGGTGAGCAGTCTACCCGCAGAGCCACGGCCCCAGAACTTCATTTTTTGGATTGTCTTCTTTAGGTGTACTGTTGGTTTTGTTTGTTTTTTTGTTTTGGGGGTTTTGTTTGGTTTGTTTCTTTTCTTTCTTTCTTTTTTTTTTGAGATAATGTCTCTTTTTGGAGACAGGTAGACCTGGTTGTCCTGGGACTTGCTCTGTAGACCAGGCTGGCCTGGAATTTACAGAGATCCACCTGCCTCTGCCTCCCAAGTGCTGGGATTAAAGGCGTGTGCCTCCACTGCCCAGTCTGAAACTGTTTTTTAACTCCTGTCCTTGCTGTCATATTCTGAGATCACCACCATACCCTGATAAAGTAAAAATTAATTTTTTTACATTTGTTCACATGTGTGTTTGTACACATGGACAGGCTGGTCTTGTGTGGAGGTCGGAGGACAACTGGCAGGAACTGGTTCTCTCTACCTTATATATGCTTCTAGGGTTAACTCTGGTCATAGGGCTTGGCAGAAAGTGCCTTTACCCACAAAGCCATATTGCTGGACTGTAAACTCAGGTTATGAGCCCCTAATCTGGGAGACCCTAAGAACAGGGAAGATAAGTTCTCACAGTGTGTCAGCAGCCTGCTTTCTCTGGGGTCAGAAGTTGGAACAAGACAGATGTGATGGCCAGTGCTTTTAATCCCAGCACTCTGGAGACAGAGGCTGGTGGATCACTGAGAGTTGTAGGCCACTCTGGGCCACACAGTGAGACCTTACCTGAGAGAGAGAGAGAGAGAGAGAGAGAGAGAGAGAGAGAGAGAGAGAGAGATACAGCCTTGCTTGGTCTTTCTTGGTCTCAGGTAATGTTACTGCTTTCATTTTCATTTCTTAGTGCGGGAAGTCTTCAAGGGAAGGTAAGAGGAAAGTCCCTGGAAACGTCACAGTAAGCAGCACAGGTGGCAGTGACCAGAGAGGCTGTGCCCTGGACATCACAGTCCCCAGATCCCAAGTCTGAAAGGCTCTGTCACCCTCAGGTGGACAGTTCCACACCTGACCTCACAAGATGGGTGGCGGTCAAAACAGGCATAACATGCCTTAGCTGGTGGCAATTGTGTTCCATCCCACAACACATAAACCAGGTGTGTGGCACACACCTTTAATCTTGGCCCAGAGCAGGCAGAGGCAGGCAACTTTATGAGTTGGAGCCAGCCTGCTCTACTACATAGCGAATTCCAGACCACTCCCCAACACACACCCATATGGACCAGCATATATGTATTTTGCTTATTTATTTAGATTTTCGAGACCGCTGGTTTTCATAGCCCAGGCTTGTCTGGAAATTGAGATTCGCATGTGTCAGGGTCCCAAGTGTGAGACCTGAACCACCAGAGCCCACTTGAATTTCTGCTTCGTTCCTGAGGTGTCTATCATCTGTACAAAATAGCCCTGCATCAGAAAAATGCCAGTCTGAGACACAGCCTGTCGGTTGTTTTATATTTTATTTTGGTTTTTGGAGACAAGGTTTCTCTGTGTAACAGCCCTGGCTGTCCCAGAACTCACTCTGTAGATCAGGCTGGCCTGGAACTCACTGAGATCCCCCTGCCTCTGCCTCCCAAGTGCTGGAATTAAAGGCGTATGCCACCACGCTGACCTCCTATAGTTTTTTCTTATTAATTTAAAGTTTTTATTGTATTTATTTAGGGGGCATACATGTGCCACAGTTCATGTGGAGGTCAGAAGACAACTTGCAGAAGTTGATCCTCTCCTTCCATAATATGAATCCTGGGGGTTGAAGTGAAGTCCTCAAAAACTAGCCATTCAACCAAGCAAACAAACCCAGTTCCTTACTGAGCTGGTAAAGGCTCTCACAGCCAAGCCTGAAGACCAATCCCAGGGACCCACATGGAAGGCGAGAAACTATCCACCAGACATGAACTGTGGCATGCTCCACACACATACACAATAAACCAATAAACAAATGTAATTAAAAATACGTTTTGAGAGCAGGTCTTACTATGTAGACCAGTCTGGCTTGGAACTCACAGACGTTCTCCTGCCTCTCCCTTTCAAGTGCTGGGATTAAAGGCCAGACTAGATTCAATTATTTATTTATTTTTGAAACAGGATCTTACAATGTCCTCTTGGCTGGTCTGGAACTGGCTACATAGACCAGGCTGGCCTTGAATTGACAGACATTCTCTTGCCTCTGCCTCCTGAGTGATGGGGGAATTACAGGCGTATGCCACTATGCCTAGATATACATTTTTTTAAAGTTAAAACCCAAATCAAACAATACAGATGCATAAAGAGACCCCACTGTGTGCCCTGTACCCTTTGTGTGGGTGCTAGGCCAGGAGGGCTTCCCAGAGCGCAGCCTCTCACCTGCGCTCCCTGCAGGTGGCCAAGCAGGAGGAGTTCTTCAACCTATCGCATTGCCAGCTGGCCACGCTCATCAGCCGCGATGATCTGAATGTGCGCTGCGAGTCGGAGGTGTTCCACGCGTGCATCGACTGGGTCAAGTACGACTGCCCTCAGCGGCGCTTCTACGTGCAGGCACTGCTGCGGGCCGTGCGCTGCCACGCGCTCACGCCACACTTCCTGCAGACGCAGCTGCAGAAATGCGAGATCCTGCAGGCCGACGCGCGCTGCAAGGACTACCTGGTGCAGATCTTCCAGGAGCTCACGCTGCACAAGCCCACGCAGTCCGTGCCCTGCCGCGCGCCCAAGGTGGGCCGCCTCATTTACACAGCGGGCGGCTACTTCCGACAGTCGCTCAGCTACCTGGAGGCCTACAACCCAAGTGATGGCTCCTGGCTGCGCCTGGCGGATCTGCAGGTGCCACGCAGCGGCCTGGCTGGCTGCGTGGTGGGCGGGCTGCTGTATGCTGTGGGCGGCCGCAACAACTCGCCCGATGGCAACACCGACTCCAGTGCCCTGGACTGCTACAACCCCATGACCAACCAGTGGTCGCCCTGTGCCTCTATGAGCGTGCCGCGCAACCGCATCGGGGTGGGGGTCATAGACGGCCACATCTACGCAGTCGGGGGGTCCCACGGCTGCATCCACCACAGCAGCGTGGAGAGGTGAGCACGGGGTCCCAAAGGGAGGGCACCTGTTCTTCCCACCCCCAGAGGAAGCTGAGCAGATGGCATGTTCATCCTCAGTGTCCAGACTTGGGAAGTACTGGAGGGCTGTCCCAAACCTATAGTAATCGTCAGCACGCTGGGGACTATGGGAATTACCACAATACATGAAATACGTTATGCTAATTGTGTATAATTACGATAAAATGTATCATCAGACCAGGGACGTAGTTCAGTGGTGGGGCACTGGTCCCTGGCTTGCACCCAGTTCTAGGTTCTAACCCCAGTACTGCCAAAAGAGAGAAGGGAAGAAAGAAAAGAGCCAGGGCTGTGACTGGCAGAGCTTTTGCCTAGCACCACATAAGCCTGTAATACCTGTCATCCCAATGCTTGAGAGGTTGAGACAGAAGAATCAGGAATTCAAAGTTGTCTTTGGCTGTATGGCAAATTCAGGGCCAACCTGGGATATAAGAGACCCTGTCTCCAGACAGACAACTATCCCCCACACGTTTAGGGCTTGAAGCAAGGTAGGAAGATGAGAAAAACTGAAAAATATTCCTGGTGCTGGGAATAGAACTTAGGGACTTGTGCATGCTAGGCCAGCCCTCTGCCCCTGATAATCCCACCCCCAACCTGCAAAGGGAATTTTAAACCTATCCCCTAGGGGCCTCTAATGTGTGGTCTGTGAATAGGATGGTGGGGCGATGTGTCACCTTGAGCGGGCCGCTTTCAAGAAGGACAGGGGCACTATTAATAACTCCAGGAACACAGGTATGGACTGGATGCTGCCGGCCATCCGGACGCGTTCACCCCATCTCTGATGATGTTGCTTGGAGGAGTACTGTCTGAGCGGTAGCCTAGTTGTCAGACGTTCTTGGGTTCTGGAGTTGGACACATGCACTGATGTCCCTTGGTGATCCTGAATGTCCTACCCCGCATTTCTGATGTGAAGCCATGAGCTCCGGTGAGGTGAAGCTCACAGACGATGCAGCAAAAAGGGTAAACCTGCTGAGGGACAGGACCTGGCTGTCACTTCCATAGCTGATGTCTGTGAGCCTCAGTTTCTTCCTCTGGAGATGGAGGTGCTAACACCCCTCCCTTGAGAGAAATAAAGCATCAGCCAGCAGGTGCTGCCTGCCTGTCACCCCAGCACTGGGAGGTTCTGGAATTCTGGGCTAGCATGGGCTACACAGCAAGACCCTAGCTCTAAAACAGAGTAAAAAAAAAACAAGTGGTTAGATGGTGGGGCTCATTGTAGGGAGGCCAGCTGTGGTTCCTGGGGTGACCATGGTGGAATCATGTCCTTTGCAGATACGAGCCAGATCGGGATGAGTGGCACTTAGTGGCACCAATGTTGACGCGGAGGATAGGCGTGGGAGTGGCCGTGCTCAACCGCCTGCTGTATGCAGTGGGGGGCTTTGACGGGACCAACCGGCTCAACTCAGCAGAGTGCTACTATCCCGAGAGGAATGAGTGGCGGATGGTCACACCGATGAATACCATCCGAAGTGGGGCAGGTGAGTGGGTGTGCGGAAAAGACCCCACCCAGCCCAGTCTTGGAAGACCGCCCTCCTCTCTTCCATCTTGTTTTGTTTTTGTTTTGAGTCAGGATCAAACAAGACTGTCCTCAGAATCGTTATGTAGCTGAGGATGACTTTGAACTCACGATCCTCCAGCCTGTCCAGCACTGGGATGGCAGGCCTGCTCCTCCACACCAAATTCCAGCTCGATCTCTAAGGGGTTCCTCCTGGAAAGAGTGCTGAGGGAGGAAGGTGGCTCCTGAGGGCCCCCTTAACCCAGGCCTCAGAGTGACTCTCGCTGTGCTTCTGTTTAGGGGTCTGTGTGCTACACAACTGTATCTATGCAGCGGGGGGCTACGACGGGAAGGACCAGCTGAACAGCGTGGAGCGCTACGACGTGGAGACAGAGACCTGGACTTTTGTAGCCCCCATGAAGCACCGACGGAGTGCACTGGGGATTACTGTGCACCAGGGCAGAATCTATGTCCTCGGTGAGGGCTAAGAAGTGGGTCAGGGTGGAAAGGACTCTTGAGTCCATATCTCTTCTTAAGATTCAGTGCTGAGGACGGAACCTGAGGAACACCCGAATGCTTGACAACTGTTCTGTAACTGAGCCAAGCCCCAGCCCTCACTGGGGGATTCTGGGCAGGTGTCTAACACTGAGTCACGCCCCACCACCCTTGCGCCCCCCACACCTCCACCCTGCTTCACTGGGAAGTCTAGGCAAGGGTTCTACCACTGGGCTTCATTCCACCTCATCCCCATGTGTTACAGACGGGTGGCTTCCCTTTCCTGTTTTCTGTTGTCTTCTCATGGGCGTTTGATTGAGTCCTCTGGGGGAGGTGACCATCTCTTCGTTCTCTCTGCAGGAGGCTATGACGGCCACACGTTTCTGGACAGTGTGGAATGCTATGACCCAGACACTGACACCTGGAGCGAGGTGACACGGATGACATCTGGCCGCAGTGGGGTGGGTGTTGCCGTCACCATGGAACCCTGTCGGAAGAAAATTGATCAACAGAACTGTACCTGCTGAAGCACTTGGGTTACCTGAACACTGACAAGTAAGAACAACAGCCCATCCAGACCACCGCTGTCTTTGTACAAAAAGAAAGGAAGGAAGGAAGAGGAAAAGCAAACAAACCCACAATCAGAACACAGGGACAGGAGGCAGCAGAAGAAAGCATCCCTCTCCAGGAAGGGCAGCTAGGATGCCGTGTGAATGACGTTGTGGAAGAGCAGAACTAAATCCATATGCCCGTTTGTCACAGCCCCTGGAGCATCCAAGACAGTCTGCCTGCGGTGCAGTATGGAGGGGCACCCTCACAAGTGAGAGGCCCCTATACCCTCTGGCTGGGGATGAGGCCACCAGCACTCAGACTTCTCTCGGGGGGGCAGGAAAAACAGGGGTCACATGTGTTTTCTTTGGTCCCTACAACTTGGTGATCAAATCTAGGGGACAAGGGGAGAAGGGCCAAGTGAGGCCAAGAGGCTGAGGCTTCCTCAGGAGCTGCAATCCCCAGGGACAAGCCTGCACAGAGAACACTGGGCCTCTACGCCCTGGATAGTTATTTTGTTAAGTAACCCTTTAACTTTCCCATGGAAATTAAAAACGGATTTAGCAGTGGCTTGTACATAGGACCTCAGAGGGCAATGGGATCCCTCAGGGAGAGGCAGCTCTTCGATTGAAATATACTCAGATCTTGATCGGGGCTGGTATTTGAAACCTGTCTGTTTTCTCCGCGTACCATTGTGCATTCTGCTCATATGGGCATCTTGTACCCTCGTGGGCCACAAAGCGTCTATCAGTTTTAGGTGCATTAGAAGCCAATGACCTAACTTTTATGCCACTTCTCCTGGGGCCTCCTGTGTTTTGCTTGACTTTGAGACAAGGTTTCATGTAGCCCAGGATGGCCTTCAGCTCAGATCCTGAACTCCTGATCCTCCCTCCTGCCTCAGCCTCCTGAGAGCTGGGATTACAGTTGTATACCACCAAACCTGGTTCCTGCTTGTCCTTTTTGTACCCAGGCAGCAAAATAAAGATTTCTGGGACCTTGAGTGTGGCTCAGTGGATAGAGAGCTCACGTAGCACGCATGAAGTCCTGGGTACCATTCCCAGCACATATAAACCTTGCTGACCCACACCTGTGGTCACAGCAGAGGAGGCAGAAGCAGGAGGGTGAGTTCAGAGTCATGTGAGTGCACAGCCAGCTCAAGGCCAGCCTGACCTACATGAGACCTTGCCTCAAAGATAATAGTAATAATTGTATTTTATACACTCACATATATGTGTGTGTATGACACATACATACACACACTTGATTTTTCAAGACAGTGTTTTCCTGACTGCCCTGAAACTAGCTACATCTCAGAGATCCACCTGCTTCTGCCTCCCAAGTGCTGGAATTAAAAGCATTCACTCTTGTTAATACTTTTACTTATTTTATTTATTTTTGTTTTTCAAGACAGGATTTCTCTGTGTAGCAGCCCTGGCAGTCCTAGAACTCACTCTGTAGACCAGACTGGCATCAAACTCACAGAGATCCACTTGCCTCTGCCTTCTGAGTGTTGGGATTAAAGGCGTGCTCCATCGTTCCCAACTAATAATATTTTTTGTTTGTTTGCTTCTTTTTTCTTTTTTTAATTTATTTTTTATTTTATCTGCTTTGGTGTTTTAGCCATGGGTGTTGGAGTTACAGTTGTGAACTACCATGTAGGGGCTGGGAATTGAACCCAGGTCCTCTGGAAGAACAGCCAGTGCTCTTAACTGCTAAGCCATCTCTCCAGCCCTAATCAGCTGGTAATATTTTTAAAAGCATAGAAGAACAGAAGTTCAAGGTCATCCTCAGCTACATAGGAAGTTGGAGACTATATGAGACAAGTTCAACAAATTTCAGGAGCTGGAGATAGCTTAGCAGTGAACGGCACTTGTGCTTCCCTCTAAGCACAAGTTTAGTTCCTTGGCACCCATGCTGGGTGTGGCTCACAGACACTTGTATCTCCAGTGGATCCGATGTCCTCTTCTGACCCCTGAAGGAACTTGGACACAATGCATACTCACACACATACACACACATTTGAAAATAGAAAAAAAAATTTTTTTCCTAAATGGCCGGGTAACTTTTCACCTAACTCAGAGTCCTTATCTAAGGACTTGTAAAGTACAGTTAGGAAGAAGGGACAAGCCTGTAACCCAGTGATAGAAAGCTGACCAAGGAGGGCTGTGATGTCAGGAAGGGCAGGCAGATCTCTGTGAAGCCAGCTGGGCTACATGGTAAGAGCCTACCAGACGACAAACAGATGACATAAGTTACACACATTACATACATTAGATCGCAGAGGTGGCTCAGTGGCCAAGAGTGTATGCTGTTCTTCCCAGGGACCAGAACTGATTCAAAACAAGAGCAGGTTTTGATGCCTCTGCTATCTTTGAGGCACTTGCACACAAATGCACACACACAGACAAACATGCGGCTATATGTGACCTTTTAAAGTCTCTCAGAAAGCAGGAAATGAAGCTTGGTAGTAGAGCCCTTACAGCAGGTGTGGTGGTGTACACCATTGTTTGTTTTGTTTAAGACAGGGTTTCGCTGTGTTGTCCTGACTGTCCTGGAACTCACTCACTCACACCTCAAACTCACAGAGATCCACCTGCCTCTGCCTCCCGAGTGCTGGGATTAAAGGCGTGCGCCACCACCGCCTGGCTTGGCTATTTATTTGTTTATTCTTGGTGCACACATTTAATCCCAGCACTTGGGAGGTAGAGGCAGGTGGATCTTTGGGGCCAGCCTGGTCCTCACTGAGAGACCTGTTTCAAAACAAACAAAAAGAAAAGAGAGAGAAAGAAACTCAACAGTGAGGGGTTGCAGTAAGCAAGCGATAGGACATGAATGAATTTCCAGCACCCATGTGGAAAGCAGGCAGAGACAATAGCCTGCCAGCCTGGGTGAAATGGTAAATTCCAGGTTCAGTGAGAGACCATGGAGAGAAGAGGAGGGGAGGGGAGGGAGTAGGAGAGAGAGAGAGAGAGAGAGAGAGAGAGAGAGAGAGAGAGAGAGAGAGAGCTGTTCTTGCAGAGGACCCAGGTTTAGTTCCAAGCACCTGTTTAACTCACAAGTATCTGTGACTCAGGTCCTAGGGAATATGATCCTTTTGGCCTGGATGAGCACCTGCAAGCTTGTGATGCAAACAAACTCAGAAAAGCACACATGCACACACATACAGAGAGAGAGAAGGAAGGAAGGAAGATTTGGATAGCTGCGAGGAAGCCCACTAGCATACTTTTGGTTTGCGTGTGCAGCCTTTGCTAGGTAGCCCTTTTAGCACTTCCGATATATCTTCCTTTTTATTACTTCAGTTACACTTATTTCTGCATTGGGGGAGCAAGCCCACCATGACACTTGTGTGAATGTCAAAAGAGAGCACACAGGAGTCAGTTCGAGGTGTCAATCTTAGATCACCAGGCTGGTGGCCAGCCCCTTTACCCACAAGCCATCTCATCGGCCCCGTCCTGGTGCTTCTGCTCAGCATTTGGGTATGGGAAACTAAGTCCTCGTACACAGCAATGAAAGGTCCAGACTGATGAGGCGATTAACTCGCTGGTGCCACCCCTGTCTCTTGAGCGGGTGATCTTTGTTGTAGAGGGTTACAGCCCCCACTCTCAGGTTCAGTTTCCTGACTCTAAAGCTGCCGGATTCTCAGAATCAAGTGCATTTCCCATCTGTTGTTGTCTGTGAGGATGGGACTTTGGCCATCTCTCAGGCAGCACACCCTGCATTAGCAGCTGGATCAACCAAGGGCGGGTTTTGAGGGTGGTGCTGGGGCTTGAACCTAGAGCCTGCTGCACGCTATGTTCTCTACCTCCGAGCTAGAACCTCCGCCCCAAAGGGAGCATTTAGCTTCTCTTGCATGCTCTCTCTCTCTCTCTCTCTCTCTCTCTCTCTCTCTCTCTCTCTCTCTTCTTCCTTTCTCTATTTCTTTCTCCCTCGCTCCCTTCCTCCCTCCCTCCCTCCACCCCTCCCTCTCTCCCTTCCTTCTTTCTTTCTTGACAGGGTCTCTCTATGCAGCCTTGGCTGTCCTCACTCTGTAGGCCAGGCTGGTCTCCAACTCTCAGAGATCCGCCTGCCTCTGCCTCCCAAGTGCTGGGATTAAAGGTGTGCGCCACCACCTTTAATTTTTATTAAATCCACCTGGATTTTTATTTTGGTACTAGGGATCTAATTCAGGTTCCCTTGTTTGTACAGCAAGCATTTTACTGACTGCTTGTGACTACAAGTGACTCACTTCTGGTTTTGTTTTTTAAAACAGATCCGGGAACTCACAGAGATCCACTTGCCTGTGGAGTCCAGACTGACACCGAACTCGTGATCTGATAGCTTCAGTTTTCCATGTGCGCAGGTTACAAGGCCTGGGAGTTTTTCACCTTGAATATGGAAACTCAGCAGCCCTGGACACCCCCACCACTCATCTAGGTCAGTCAAAATCTAGTTAAGTACTAGACTCAAGAGATGGCCCAGCAGTTAAGAGCACTTGTTGCTCTTGCAGAGGACCCAGGTTCATTTCCCAGCACCTGCAAGGTGGCTAGCAGCCATTCCTAGCTCCAGTACTAGGGAACCTTCACAGGTACTGCACGCGTGTGGTGCACAGCCTACATTTTTGTTTGTTTGGTTTGGTTTGGTTTGGTTTCTCAATGTAGCAATGGCTGTCTTGGAACTCACTCTGTAGACCAGGCTGTCCTCGAACTCACAGAGACCTACCTGCCTCTGCCTCCCAAGTGCTGGCATTAAAGGTGTGCGCCAACACCGCCCGGCCACAGCCTACATCTTAAAAAAACATCTGATTGAGCTGAGTGTGGCGTCTTGCACCTGTAATCCCAGCAACTGGAAGTCTGAAGAAGAAGGATTTCCAAGGATCCAGGCTGATGAACTTGAGAGAGCCTGTTTTTCATTTAATCTGACTTTTAATTTTTATTACATCTGAGAGAGGAAGAAAGGAGAGCACCAGGTTGTGAGAAGACAACGTGAAGGGGTCAGTCCTCATGTGGGTCCTGGGAATCCACTCAGGTCAGGCTCGGTGGGCCTCAGGCTGAGTGGGGCATCATCTTTACCTGCCGGCCATTTGCCAGCCCAAGATCTTGGTTTCAAGCGAAACAATAACAAAAAAACAGGGCCTTGAGAGAACTGGTTGAGTGGATAAAGCACTCACCACAGGAGGGGACTATCTCACGTTGGGCGCTCTGCACCCAGTTGGTGGCCTGTAATCACAGCTCACTGGGGCCAGAGACAGGAAAGCCCAAGCAAGGGCAAACCAGCAGCTTCCCTGGCTGAACCCCACAACTCCAGGTTCCCCAAGACCCTGGGGCCTTGGAAAGTAAGGTGGAGATCAGCGGAGGAAGCTCCCCCAGGATCTGCAGTTAAGGCCTTCACAGAAAAGCATGCCCCCCCAAACATCTGTGTGCATGCCACACATGGAAGAATGAGAAACAAGAACCTAGTTGGTCACCCTGCAAGGAAGGGTTGCAAGCAGGTAGAGCAGAGGGTGGAGCTCTCTGATACAATGTGGGCTGAGCCTACGCAAAGCCCTGATCCCATCCCCAGCACGTCTGTAAATAAACTTATTGGTTAGCATGGAAGGGGCAGGTGGATGGGGTCAAAGTTAAACCTCAGCGTTCATGTGCCTGTCATCTTAGGTCAGCTCGGCCAAAGGTGCTGGCAACCATCCAGGGGAGAGGTGGTGGTGATTCAGGCTCAGCGCATGTGGGCAGGCACGTAATGAGGGAAAATACAAGTCAGCTGATTGGATAGAGTGAAGCCAATGACAGATGATTACCAAGTCCGCCGTTCTCTCTCCTACAATGCTGGAGCTGGAACTCAAAAACTCAAGATCTTGTACATGCTGTGTAAGCACACCCCCAGCCACACCCCCAGGCCTCACTAGAGGATTCTAGACAGGGGCTCAACCACCAAGCCATGCCTCCAGCCCCTCACTGGGGGATTCTTTGTCTAGTTTCCTTTTTTTTTTGTTTCTGTTTTTGTTTTTTGAGACAGGGTTTCTCTGTA